CGCCGCGCCCCCCCTGCCGTGTCAGCAGGTAAATAAAACTGGCCCGGCCCGCCAGGGTGCTTACCCTGGCGAGCCGCGTGCCAAACATTGCCGACCCCTGGTTTAGCCTGACAATTGCTCACAGAGGGGACTGTTTACATTGAAATCCCCTTCAAATCCCTGTCAGTTCTTTCTCTACTTCCACAGTAGCAGCATGCCAGGAAACAACGAGATATCAGAGGAAAGTGCTTCTATTTCTTAAATGCTTATTCCTTTTTAAGGAAAATCTTCTAGTCCTGGGAACCCCTGCAAATTGTCCCCTGGAATCCCAAACTTCCTGTTTAATTTAAAGATGAGGGAGTAAACATCTAAGCCATAATCACTAGACCTGGTGAAAGAAAAAAGAGCCATGAGAGGAATCAGAAGACAAGGAGAACAGTCCCTCATCCTTGGGAAATAAAAAATCAGAAGAGGTTAGTCTCACCTAAGAACATGCACAGTAATACAACACACATCATGTGCTTCACAATCACTATAATGCAATTATTTACTGTGATCTCAGGAATGTGTATCTGCTAGACATCCATGTTCAGGTGAACTACATGCTGTGCTATTTACCCCATGGGGAAGTAAGAGGTCAGAGTTAAGGGTTGCATTATAGCGTGACTAGGAGGAATATGGTGTGAGTGTATTGGGTTATTCATAGTGGTATGAATGACTATTAATTAATGACAGTGAATAGTGAGTGGGCCAGAGGAAGACAGGGAGAATGATTCTACTGCCTAGGGGATGGTTGGGGCACTCAGGATGTAGGGGACATAAGTTCAATTCCCTGCTCCACTAGCTATTTAATTATTTATAAAAAGTGGAACTTCAACAGGAGAGATTGAGAGAGCCCCACACCAGAATATCCCATATTCCCAAATTCAAATCTATTCTCCTTTGTGGGTGAGGAAACTGCATCTGGGGCTTGCAGATCACACTGGACTAGCACTTATCAAAGAGGGCACCATCAGCACTTCTGCCACCATTTTGTGAATCTACTACTCCCCTGCTATTGTTAAAAGTGCCTGGAATCAAAATGAAAAATTTTGAGTCGGGTGAAAATGAAATGTTTCCACCTGAATTTTTTTTCTGACTTTTTAACTCACTGAAAATTTTGAAAAGTTTCATTTTCAACTAACCAAAACTTTATTTTAATTTTTTGAAGTTGCCAACAAACTGAAAAATCCATTCTTTGCCCTAGCCTGCACAACAGCCTGCATTTACCTGGGGGGATAATTTGGACGCTGAGATCATGTGTCCCAGCTCTGAAACATATTAAAAGGAGCACTCTCTGGGATTCACTGTGAATCCCTTCATTTTACAAGCACTCTAAACCCACCTCTTGCCATGGCAGATGGGTCTGATACAGGGAAGCGAGGAAGATCATTTCACATATCCAGAAAGCCCCTCTGGGAGTGGGTAATCCAGTTGTGCTAAACAGACAGGCTGGGAGGGGCACATTCTATCATCAGCAATACACATAGCTGGGAATTTGACTCCGAGGGTATGTCTGTGCTGTATTTTGGAGTCTGTGCAGACAGCTCTTTGAAGTTGGGACTCGAGCTCTGAAGCCTGGGGTTTTTTACATGCAACACTGGATCCTACTCCCAAAGAGACTGGGAAGAAAAAATAACATCATTCTCCAGAACCAGCTGTAAAAATAAATAATAAATTGGCAAATAGAGAAAATATTAGTGTGTTTCCGACAGGAAGGGCTCGATCTCCTCACCTGCTCACTGATGGACCTTCAGGCAAAACCTGCAGCACCAACACAGCTGAGAAACTCAGTCCTTGCAAGGAATCTGTTATTGAGAGCCAGGCAGTGTTGGAAACGTGGGGTAGAACCTTGGTCCTAGCACTGAGAGATACAATCCTGCTGCTACCTGGGAGATATTCTTCTCATAAAGAAAGGAAATTACTAATCAATGACATGGGTTCAAACTGGTGTGTTCGTGGGGACAGGGGAGGAAATGGCCTGTCCTACTATTTGGGCTTGTGTAATGAAAGAGGCTGTTGTCTGTAGAACCCTGGCTCATTTGTTGAAGAAGTTGGAAGCTGTGTACATATGACTGGGATGAGTGGGCCTAGATCTGCCCAAAACTAAAGTTCCACCCCTTCAATCAAGAGGGAGAGACCACAGAGCCCAAAAGGAAGTGAATACAGGGGACACCGAATGAAAAACAGGGACAGGAGTAAGGGTCATATGGACAAAATGAGGGGTCCAGAAGGGAATACAGCAGAGAAACCGAGACAGTGCTCACCACTCCTCAAAGGAGTCCAAGGAGCCAGTGGACGCTGTTCAGAGGAACTGCCCAGAGATGTGAGGCAACATGGGACCGGAAACAAGCCTCACAGTCTCAGTGCACTTCCTTGTCAAGCTTCCTCCTCCTGGTCTGAGGAGGGCCATCTTAGCCAGTGCCAGGAGAAGGCTAACAAAGAGATCTCCCTTTGTGGCACCATGGATGGGATGTGCAAATACAGGGGGGGAGGGGTCAAAGTGCAGGAGGAGACAGAAGAGAGGCTGCAGCCTGAGGCATTCGGTGTAGATGTGTGCCAGGGTCTCTCTCTTGTGGCAAAAGAGTCAAGTGTCCCCTCTGAACCACGCCAACCACCCACCATGCTCACAGCTCCATGGAGGAGCCACTAACTGAGATCTCTGGTGGGCTGTGGCACTGGGGTGAAGTACAGGCTGGCCCATCGGGGCTCCCTGCCCCCCATAGGTGGCAGCTGGCCCCACCACTTGGTGTCAAGGAGGGACATAAGAGCAAGGTGTGGAGCATGAGCATGTAGAGATGTTCACGGGGCACAGTTCAGAGATGGAGTCACTGGATCGTGTTCAGCCTGCTCAGAAACCATCTGGGGGCAACCGGGGAGGCTCTTGGGGGAGGGGCCTGATGACAAGCTCTGGAGGGGCTGGAGTGGGTTGGGGGTGCCCTCCTGCACTTGAGATACTTGAGAGAATCAGGGGCAAGCAACCCTCACCTCCTGGAGCACACAATGGGGAATGCTCAGGGTGGACAACCCCATGCGCTGGCCAAGCACCACAAGGTCCACCCAGTCTCTTTGACCAGAGTGAAAGAGGTTTATATTAGTATATCGTAAGGGTCTACAACTTTCAGTGGGCCTCTTTTATGATTATTTCAATCAAAATAAATAGATAACATTATTCCTAGCCACTGTCTATATGGAGATACACATGGGTATCAGTGAGGGGAAATGCAGAGAATGGAGCATACACAAGTCATTTTACTCTGTATATATCTGTCTCCTGCAGGCTGACGGGTTGTGGTCTCACGGCTGCATGTTGTGAGGATCTCTCCTCGGTTCTCATCACCAGCCAGACCCTGACATTCCTAAATCTAGGGCTGAACAGTCTGGAGGATTCAGGAGTGCAGCTGCTGTGTGAGGGGCTGAAACATCCAAACTGCAAACTACAGACACTAAAGTAAGTAACAGCTGGCTCCCTTTAGTCAGTGCCTGGAAACACTGTGATGTTGTGAGTTAAGCTCAGTGTACCCAGATCACAATGTCCTACAGTACATGGAACCCAGCCATGGACCAGCCCCACTCTGCTCCTCAGGCAAAGAACAGAGACCCACTGATATGTTCACTGCTTGTATTTTACTGGTTAAACAATTGAACAATGTAGTGGGCTCATGCCTAAGCCTCTGTTGAGCAGCTGGAAAGCAGCTGAGCAACTGCCCTAAAGGGGCAGCCAAGGATCCCCCTGATTCAGGGTAATCCTCAGGTTATAGAAAGCAGGTATTGGAAGTGTGGAGGAGCATGGAGGTGTATGTCGGGGCAGAGTGCCTGGCGCTCAACCTCTCCTAGGCCAGCCCAGCGTCTGGGGTAAGTTAGGGCAGCCCGGAGGTTCCTCTCTGTTAGACCACAGGCCATTTTGTCCCCCACCTGGCCCAGGATCAGGAGAGTGCAGAGGTGGCTTATAACTAGTTTCTTCAGTCTCCTCATCAGCGCTGAATGTGAACTTGGTGCAGTTGAGGACAGTGTCCAGTGGCTTTTAGCAAATCCCGGATGCAGCATATTTTGATGTTACAAACACTATTATTTTAAGACAATAAAAACTACAGCCCAGTATTGCCAACTTTAAGAGAGCAAAAATCATGAGTTAGACCACTGAAAATCATGAGATTACAAAAAAATCTAATTGTGTTTTTTTTAGTGTCTTTTGACTTTTTAACTCCCTTCTACTCCTTTGTCAAATGTAGTCAGATATTTGGCTGTGTGTGTGTTCCCTCTGTGTGCTGTCTCAGCTCTGTGCGGGTAGTTGGCACAGCAGACCTCGATCGAACCGCCCAGTGAGACCACAAGACCAGTTTCAGTTTTGAAGGCACCCAGCCAGGTTTATTGCCAATGAAGCATGGTCCTAGCTCCCCAGATCAATGTCTACAGTTACACTAGCACATGTATGCCTGTGATAATGGATGCAGCTCAGTGAATGGTGGGACTTTCCATTCTCCTCTTGGCGGGCCAACGACACTCCCTCTGAGACTTCATTTTATACACCGATACAAACAAGTTATGTATTGCCCCTCTGACATGTCTAGGTGCCACCCATGACCTTGTACATGTTGGTTCGATCCAAACATCTCTATTCACCATACTGTCATCCTGATCATATCTTTAAGATGGGTCAACATATTCCTGTTATCTTTGGGGAATGTGTTGGTATTGAGGTGTTCTGGTATCACCCTTCTGAAATGTGTTTGTATGTGTGTTTGGTGCCTAGCACTTCTTAGGAATGTGTATTTCTGCAATATCAGCCCTGTTCTTGCCAGATTCTGTGAGCAGGGCCTGCCTCCAATTCACAGCCTCACTTTGCTTTATATTAGCAAAGCTTTGACCACTACTTTAGCCCAAGCCTCAGGCCTCTAATACAAGGGCTTATGTCTCAAGTTTTTTTCCTACTACACCAAAGTGAGTGAAATGACATCAGTTTGAAAAATCAATATTCAGTGTACACAAAAATGCATGCCTCTCCCTGGTTGCTCAGACAGAGCCTGCATTTAATGTCTCCTCACCCATAATACAGAAGAACTTCTATCCCTTTCCTATCACTGCCTTTACTTTCTCTCCTCCAAGTTTATTTTCTTAGATAAAAGAAGGGCTGGATTGTGAATAGTTTGAGAACCACTGACCTAATTAATGAATCATGATTCACACTCGCACATAGAACTTATACTACTTTTTAGGGTTGATGAGTTTCAGATATGCATATTAAAGAACTTGAAACTTATTCAAATAAGGGTATAAGCAACAAAGTCACAGTAAACATACTATGGGATTGGTTTAGCCTTTTCTAAGAAGCAGCACTTCCCTGATCTCCCTGTGATGGGTTGGATCACAGAAAACCCCTTGGGAACTGTCAACTGATGTGCTGAGACTACCTCTGAGCCTCTTTCCCCTGGCAGCTTGGGACTTCAGTGGCCTGCCTGGTTTGAGGCAGACACACTAGCCTGCTGCCAACCCAGACCCAGGTCTGAACCACATCCCCTAACAGCTGCAGGCTTAACTGAAAACAGCTTAAGAAGTGTTCCTGTCTCGAACACTCAGATGCCCAATGTCCAATGGGGTCCAAACCCCAAATAAATCCATTTTACCCTGTATAAAGCTTATGCAGGGTAAACTCATAAATTGTTCGCCCTCTATAGCACTAATAGAGAGAAATGCACAGATGTTTGCCCCTCCCCCCAGTTATCAATACACACTCTGGGTTAATTAATAAGTAAAAAGTGATTTTATTAAATACAAAAAGTAGGATTTAAGTGGTTCCAAGTAATGACAGACAGAATAAAGTAAATTACCAAACAAAATAAAATAAAACACGCAAGTCTATGCCTAATACAGTAAGAAAGTGATTACAGATGAAATCTCAACCTCAGAAATGTTCCAGTAAGCTTCTTTTACAGACTAGCCTCCTTCTAGTCTGGGTCCAGCAATCACTCCCACCCCTGTGGTTACTGTTCTTTGTTCCAGTCTCTTTCAGGTAACCTTTGGGGGTGGAGAGGCTATCTCTTGAGGAAGCTGTAGACAAAATGGAGGGTTTTCCAGGGGCTTAAATAGACTTCCTCTTGTGGGTGGACACCCCTCCCTCTCCCTGTGTAGAATCCCAGCTACAAGATGGAGTTTTGGAGTCACATGGGCAAGTCACATGTCCATGCCTGACATAGTTCTTTACAAGTGGCAGCTATTGTTTACATGGTACCTTGAACATCCACAGGTAGACTTCTCATGTGGATTGAAGTCTTCCAAGATCCATTGTCCTTTAAGTGTTTCTTGATTGGGCACTTAACTTGCAAATTCCTTTCTAAAGGAGCTGACCAAATGCCTTACTAAGGTTACTTAAAATCAAACAAGTACCTAGCCAATAATCATAACTTCGAAAATAAAAATGATACATGCATACAAATAGGATGAATATATTCAGTAGATTATAGCCTTTGCAGAGATATGTTACATGGCATATGTAGCATAAAACATATTCCAGTTATGTCATATTTACATTTAGAAGCATATTTCCATAAAGCATTATGGGGTGCAACATCACATCCCCAACCACCACGTATCTGCCAGAGACTAGATAGCGCCCCCCAAATACTCCTCCTCTTTTTCCAGACACCCCCTGCAATCCGCTCCCTCCTGTCCCCCACATTGCCCTGCAGCCCATTTTCCTTCACCCCTTAAATCTGCCTCCTTCTCCCTCCTCCCATTGCCCTGCTCCCCCTCACTCGCTCCCTCTACTTTTAGCACTGTCATTGGAGATCCTCACAGTCCTTATGTCCTGTCTAGCCCCCTGAACCAGAGTGGCAGCCATTTTGCCTGTGGGCATGGCTTCCATCTCATTGAAAACAGTGGGAGGTGGCAGCCAACTTTATCCATGGCAGCCTCACTTCCACGTGCAGATGGACTGTAGGGAAATGGCAGCCATATTGCTGGCTTCAGCCTCATTGGCAGTAATAGGAGATGGTGGCCATGTTTTATAAGGGAAAAAGCACCACACGGTCAACCCAGTCTCTCTGACCAGAGTCAAGGAAGTTTCCAGTTCTGGTGACACCAGCCTGGACCATCCTCTAGTGCACCAAGGGAGATTCCACTACCTAAGGTTTTCCCCCTCGGTGGCTGCTATGTACCAGGTCGCTGAAAATAACTCCCAGGTCCTGCTTGGACAAGCAACTAGGAGAAGTTTCTAGGGAGACTTCTTGGATGGATATAAAAGAGCTTCCAGTCATATCGGAGCCCTCAGAGGCGGCAAAGGAATGCATGCACCAGCACACTTCATGCCGGACTACAAGCACCATAAAGGAGTCTCTGGAGAGCCTGGAAGTGGAATATGTGGTCCTGCCTGTGGATGAAAACAAGGCCCTGCCTGTCCTCTTCCGGTGGGATGCTCAGACACCCACAGAGACCCAGTGCTTTCCTGGCCAGAAGAACTCCAGGACCGTTGGAAGCTGGCCAGGGCTCTAGGGAAAGGTGCCAGAGCATGGATAGAACTAATTAGTTGGTCAGCAGTGCCTTCTCCTGAAGCGGAAGGCTCTGGAGCAGCCTCATCCATCTCCACAGCTGGTCAGACACCCTGGCCTCCAGATCAATTCAATTCTCCAGTGCAGAGCGATCGGTGTGTCAGGTGGGGGATTCCCAGAGTTGGGAAAGGGGTCCCAGGTCCCAGCCATGTGCCTCTGCACAAATACCATCCTTCCCTCCTAGGGGGTCAGAGTTAGCCCCTGGATCAAGCACCACACTTAAGAATGAAACACCACTTTTATCTTAGTCAGGAAAAGCCAGGAATACACCCTGGTCTGGTTCTGTAGCAGGAGTTACACAGACTCCCTTGCCTTTGGCACAGCATATAACACACAGCCCTCCCTTATGCCTGGCTAGACACACACAGACTCTATCCCGTGCCAATGCAACACCCTCCCCGCTCGGGTCAGTCCAACCTGTCCGTGCACTCTGATGCTGGCATGCACTCTTATCTCATAATGGTGGGTCTTGCTGTGTAAGCTTAGCTGTCCTGTTGGCTCCAAGCTGTGTGTCTGTAAGAGTCCCCTTTTGCAAACACCAGTGCAGCACCTGGCTCTTTTCAAAGCAGCTCCTGGTTCTGACTCTGTATTTCCCCAGCTCAGGGCTGCTGCTTCTGCTGCTGCTCAGGTCTTTCTTTGTTATCTCTCCAAATCTTCCCAGGCTTGTTCCCCATCCTACCCCTTGTGTGTTCATCAGCTCAAGTCCTCCCAGGTGGTCTGTAGTTAATTCTGTGTTCTGGTTTTGGAGTGGCACCCGGTCTCCACCCAATCAAGTTTGCACAGCATAGCAGGGAGTGGCCAGAGGAAGGGGCTCTCTACCCAGTCCCACAAGTGGCAGAGAGGTAAACACAGAGATAGAGCAGCAGACCTGCTCCCCACTGGATGGGATGGAGCCACCTGCCACATC